CGGAGCCGCTCAACCTCGACTGGCCTTTCACTATCACTTGACACTTGGCACTTGGCACATGGCACTTGGCGCCCCAGCGGACATTCGTCGCTTTTTTTCCGTCCTTATCGATTGCCGAGTTGTCGCTGGTAAAACGAGCTTTTTATCGGCGACGCTGGCATCGTTTGTCGAGCTTATCGCGACGACTGCCGAGCTTGCATACCTACATCCCCAGGCCAACAACAGAGTCGCCGGCGCAACGGCCATTAATCCGATTCCGTGCAAACGCTTTCACTGTACTCCTCGCAGCGCTCGAGCCGACGTGCAACGAACTCCATCCTCTTATCCGCAATCCGTGGCCTTAGTTCCACCTGTGGCGTGCACAGCTGACGTAGTCGTGGGCGATCGGACGTGCAGTCTCTCCTCGTGTCGATAATGCTTAGCTCTGCCGCGCAGACTGGTCGAGCGCTCTGCTCGCTCGCGATTTCCAATCGAAAATCCGCGATTGCTCAAGTCACGACTTGGCCAATAGTTGAGTCTCCAACCGACGGTTCCACGCGAGCATTCGCCTGCCTTGCTGACTGGCCGCTCGGTGTACCCACGCGCGGCGCGCATCGGCGGCCAAGGAGCTAGCGGCCCAGTCCCTCGCGACGCCTGCCGAAGGCGCGTGGCCGCTAATCGGCGCAGTGTGCGGTCGAAGGGCCAGCGATCACCAGTGCCAGGACTGCTTTGGGCGCGGTATCAACGAGTCCCGTTGGGAGTAATAAACTCGTCTGGACTACGTCCGGTCAGCAGCAGCTCGTCGACAGCCTTGCAAAGGGCCGGCAATCCAGCCAGAACGGAAGACAGAGTCGCGAAGCGCCGCCGAGCGGGGGTGGACGAGGAGGGAGGGAGGGCGAGCGCCGAAAGCGGACAGGCGAAAGGAGTGCGCGTAACCGACTGCGCTAGGCAGCGCGCTCGCGTGCAGCTCCGGCACGTGGCAGCTGCTGCCCGAGCGGCCGGCGACAGCTGCGCGCGCCCGGGCCCGGGCCTGGGCAGGCAGGCAGGCAGGCAGGCAGGCAGGCCCCGGAGCCGCGAGGCAGCGTCGCTGGCGGCGCCGGCCGGCCGCCGATTGATTTTTCCGCGGCTGCGCGCGCAAAGCCGGCGCGGCTCTCGCGCCCGCTCCCGTGCCCGCTCCCGTGCCCGCTCCCGTGCGAAGCGCGAGCGCTGCACCGTCGGGCGAGCGCGCGGCCGGTCGCGCGTGCCGCGGCGCGGGCGGCGCTGGCTGCCGCCTCGTGCGCAAGCGCTGGCGCTGCCGGCGGTGCAATTTTGCATCGGCGCTCGTCGTCGGCGCTAGTCGGCGACGCGGCCTTCTTGCGGGCGACACGTGCTCGCGTCGGCTGGTGCCGCCACCTGCTGCGCTCCACTGCTGGCGGTCCGCTTCTCTCGGACGCCGAGCCAACGCCGGTAACGGGGCCGCCGCGACCCCGCCAGTCCTCGACCTGCTGGCGAGCCTGCATCCGGCCGGGTGCGCCGACCAACGCCCGCGCGACTCGGCCCAACTTGTTGCTCGTCGGCTCGTGCAGTCGCTATCGCGAGCTCCGCGGCCTCGTCGGAAAGAGCGGCAGCGGCAGCGGCAGCGGCAGCGGCAGCGGCAGCGGCAGCGGCAGCGGCAGCGGCAGCGGTCCCTGTCGAGTTCTCGGAACGCGCGCGGAGGGGAAAACGGAAACGATAAGCAAGATAAACAGTGCGTGACTTGCGTCTTTTAGAATACACACGGAGAGCGAGTGAGAACGTGCGTCGAGGAGCGCGCCGAGTGCGCGCCGAGTGCGCGCCGAGTGCGCGCCGTCGTCGCGCATGTGCTTAGTCGGCCCCAGTGAATGTGCGCGAGCGTGCGACGTCGAAGACAAGCCGAGCTCGGCGACGCCATGAGCACGATCGCCGCCGACCGGAAGTGGACAACTCGTCGAGGCTCGATCGCTTAATCGACCTGTCGAGCCGCCAACAGCTTTGACCAGCGACCAGTCGCGGATCGTCTCCGGCACCACCGAGCTTCCGCGCAATCCGAAGCAAGCCCACACATGCGCCGGTGCGTTCAGCGACTCTTACTTCTTTGTCCGTCCGTTGTTGCTCGGCTCAGCCGACTTTGTTTTTTCGTTGTTGCTCCGTGTGCCCTCTTGACCTTCGTGTCGTGGAAAACAACGGCGCGCGCGCTCGAGTCGGCCTCGTGCGTAGCAGCTGCGCGTACGCACTGTCGGCTCGTCGTTCGATATCGTTCGACCTTTTTATACCGAGCTCTTATCTCTTTCGCCTCGTTTATCACTTCCCACTCGAGTGGCCTGTGCAGAGTACGTCCAATTCCGATTTGGAATACAGGACTATTCGACAACACGAGAATCGATCGCGTCTCGGAGAAAGGTCGAGCTAGGTAAATATTTAGTTTCCATATCGCATGTTCCTCGGCTACGGCGCTGATTCCGCCGACAACAACGTTGGAATTCTCGATGGACGCTACAGTTTTCCCGAGTGTCGAGCATAACGTACACAACAACGTAAAATGAGCGACGTCGACGCGATCGTAGCAGCAGCGACTCGCTCAAACTCGTATTCCGCTTATAGATTTGGGTCGGCTCTAATCTTATGCACGCGCTTCGCACGCAACGCGCAAATGTCCTCGCGTCGTTCGCACCGAGCTTCTTTTTTCCTATTCGCGTCTACGTGTACGTCGTCCCGCGATAAATTAATTGCATTGTAATTGCAATTGTCGCAGAAAAAAAAAGTCGAGATCGACTGGGCCGAACGAAGAGCAGATTTTTAAAGCGCCAGCTCGCCGACGGTAGTGGCGCTAAGCACGAACGCGTTAATTTCAGAATTAGCTCTCGGTCGGCTTGCCTGCTCGCCCCTTTCCATCCGCGAGCAAAGACGCAAAAATAGCGGTATTGACGCCCACGGCTTTTCAGCCGCGGCGTCTGCGTTATTCACGCCTGACGTCGTGCTTTTTTCACTCTCGCTGTCGCTTCGTACAGTAAGACGTTGCAGTAGCCTTCCCGTCCGCGCGTCGTTCGACTGATATTCAGGCATCAATGAGAGGCCGCGAAAATTTTCCGCGCCGGATTAAATTGAACGCACGACGTGTCGATATCAAATTTCTTCTGAAAATATTGAGTGCTCCCTGGCGCTCGGTGCCTCTCGAAGCACACGAGCGAATGCTTTCTTGCAAAAAGAATCAAACTACTCGTGCTCTCGTCCAGTCGATCTAATATTCAGAAGTCGGTGGCTCTCTCTCTCTCTCTCTCTCTCTCAACAAGTAGAAAGCAATGCATCGCTGCCGTTGACGTCACGAACGGCAACACGGACGATGATTCATTCATTCGTAGCATTTTTTATTCATCATATCTTTTATAAATGGACGCGTGTGCGACGTTGCGATGTGCTTTCTTTAATGTCCCGAGCACGTGCGCGGAATGTCGCGTTGGAAAAAGCGCGACCTCGCTACATTGTCTGCAAATTGTTCGCGCATTGCTTTCAGTTTGTAATTTTCTAGAAAATAAAAATGCCAAGGTGGGATTCCGATGGGCAGACGCAGTAGTGCGAGCAGCAGGCATTGTTTGCCGTAGGATTGTAGCGCTGAGTATTTTCGACGGCATGAGTCAGAATGGAGCAAACAGCCGCATCGCGAGAACTTTATTCGGACTGCGCGCGGTCGTCCCCTCTGATTTGCCAAGCGGCGCTGAAAGCTGACAATTATCGGCATATCGGCATGGGCAGACTCGAACGCGAGATCGAGAATAGGCGCGTTTCCGGTAGTGCTGGCGCGTCCGCAGCCGTCTAGCGCGATGGTGGGACAACGACGGCCAGCAATTTCAAAGTAATAGTCGTTAGCGAGAGGAGACGTGGACGCTTCGAGGAGTGCACCTGTGCCGTCGCGCGCGCGCGCGCGCCTCAAGTCTGCACGGCTGGCTGCCTGCAACGCGTACGCGTGCCAGCGCCGCCACTTTCCCTTTTTGCCATCGATTCCGCGGCAACCGCCGCTGCCCGCCGCCGTCTACGTCTCTCTTTCCACTTCAGCTTCGCTTTTTTCGCCGCCGCTAATTAACGCTCCCTGCCTGCTGTTCGCCTCGTCGCCGACGCGCATCGCCATTCATTTGCTCGTTGGCCATTCTCATTATTACGCGAAATCTCGTGGAACTCGAAGCCTTTGAAAGCGACATCGCGCTAGAGCTCGGAAGCGTTGCTCGCTACTCTTTGCTTTTGCTTTCGTTTTCGCTTTCGCTTTCGCTTTCGCTTTCGCTTTCGTTTTTGCTTTTGCTTTCGCTTTTGCTTTCGCTTTCGCTTTCGTTTTTGCTTTTGCTTTTGCTTTTGATTGTGCTTTTGCTTTTACTTTGGTTTGTTACTTTGCCAGCCTGTCTGCCTGCCTGTCTGCCTGCCTGCCTGCCTGCCTGCCTGCCTGCCTGCCTACCTGACTTATTGTTTGCATCTCCCGTCGTTCTGGAATCGAGACGAGTGGTCGTCGCGCTCAAGGTCGCTCGGTCGGCGTTGGGCGAGACGGAAAATGGGGAACTGAAAGCGAGAAAAGGCGCGCTGGCGCGCGTCGAAGCCGAGATGGAGCCGCCGGGCTCGCGGAGTGGGCTCGCGTGGAAAAATCGATAGCAGCGAAAGCGAGAGTGCGGCAGCGACGGCGGCGGCGGCGGCGGGGAGCCTTGGCTCGTCTTGGGTCGACGCTGGCGCGTGCTGGTCTCCCTCCTCGCTCGTCACGCCGACGCGTGTGCGTGTGCGTGTGCGCGTGCGTGTGTGCGTGTGCGTGTGTGCGTGTGTGCGTGTGTGCGTGTGTGCGTGTGTGCGTGTGTGCGTGTGTGCGAGTGCTCGGGTTTGGTAGTGGGTGGCTTGCTTTGGTTTTGGGCATTGACGCAAGTGGTGGCTAGACGGGGAGAGAGGGAGAATGTTCAAAGAGGTGCCATGAGACTGTACAGCGAATGGGAGCTGGGCGCCATGTGAGCCAAGCAGGCTAGTAATAGAGCGGCTGGTTTTGCCTATGATTGCAGCGGCGGCTCCGTCACCAGGGTCCTGGTGAGCAATCTGCCGGCTAACGCCAGTATCGAGGAAGTCGAGCAGCTGCTATCGCACTCCGGCATCGTACACCACATCGAGAAGGCGATGTCGCGCGACCCCAATTCGCAAGCGTACTTCGTCACCTACACTCTTCCGGAACACGCACAGCAGTAAGTCCCAGCCAGGCTCGCGCCAGCCCCAGTCGCCCGCCCCGTCCCGCCGCGACTCTGACCGAGACGAAGCGCCGGCGTCGCCCTGTCGCTCGTGCAAGCGCCTCCGCGCTCGGCCGGCCGCCTCGAGAGCAGGCAGGCAGGCAGGCAGGCAGGCAGGCGCGGGGGCGCGGGGGCCCGGGGGCCCGGGCAGACGCTGCCCGCCGCTGCCCGCCGCTGCCCGCCGCGTGCCGGCTCGCCTCTGCGGACAACCTGAAACGCAGCGCCGGGCGCTCGCTTTGCTGTTGCAGGGCGGTCAGCCAGATGAACGGCTTCGAGTACGAGGGCACGCCGCTCAAGGTGGAGATCAGCGAGAGCCGCCGGCGGGCCAGGAGCCAGCGGGGCGCCGGCCAGCAGTCCGGCGCCGGGCCCGCGGCCGGCGGCTTCTCCGGGCTGCCGGGCAGCGCGCGCCAGACCGACTTCCCGCTGCGCATCCTCGTGCAGTCGGACATGGTGGGCGCCATCATCGGCCGCCAGGGCTCCACCATCCGCCAGATCACCCAGCTGTCGCGCGCCCGCGTGGACGTGCACCGCAAGGACAACGTGGGCAGCCTCGAGAAGGCCATCACGATCTACGGCAACCCCGAGAACTGCACCAACGCCTGCAGGAAGATCCTGGAGGTCATGTTCCAGGAGGCCTGCAACAACAGCAAGCCCGTGCTCGAGAGCAGCAGCCCCGCCGTGACGGAGAACAACGGCGAGCAGCCGCAGCAGCGCACCGCCGACGGCCAGCCCGGCGAGAACGGCGCCGGCCAGAAGCAGCAGATGCTCGTGGCCGGCGTCGTCGAGATCACCCTCAAGATCCTGGCGCACAACAACCTCATCGGTCGCATCATCGGCAAGGGCGGCAACACCATCAAGAGGATCATGCAGGACACCGACACCAAGATCACCGTCAGCAGCATCAACGACATCAACAGCTTCAACCTCGAGCGCATCATCACCGTCAAGGGCACCATCGAAAACATGAGCAAGGCCGAGGCGCTCATCTCCAACAAGCTGCGCCAGAGCTACGAGAACGACCTGCAGGCCATGGCTGTAAGTACTCACTTCGGATTGCCGACTCGCGGCCTGCCGCTGGTTTGGCCGGCTGCCGCCCCACGCGGCTTCCGGCTGTGCGCGGCAGGCAAAGCCACGTCTGGCGGCGCCGAGCCGACGGCGCCCGCGCGTGGGCGCCCGTCCACGGCCCGCCACCAACACGCCACCGACGCGCCGACGACGCGCCGCGCCCTCCCCGGCCCGCGCTCCTCGCGCTCCTCGCGCTTCTCACGCTCCACTCGATTTGCAGCCGCAGAGCATGATGTTCCCGGGACTGCACCCCATGGCCATGATGTCGACGGCGAGCATGGGCTACAACAGTCGTGGGCCGAGCGGCCTCTACAGCGCCGGCCCCGCGCCCTATCCCTACCAGGGCAACTTGCCGGCGCAGCAGGGCGCATCGACGAGTGACGCCCAGGAGACGACTTTCCTGTACATACCCAACAACAGCGTTGGGGCCATCATCGGTACCAAGGGCTCGCACATCCGCAACATTATCAGGTTCTCCGGAGCCAGCGTCAAGATCGCGCCCCTCGAGTCGGACAAGCCGGCCGAGCAGCAGACCGAGAGAAAAGTCACCGTCGTCGGCTCACCCGAGTCTCAGTGGAAGGTACCGCCGTCAGCCGTTCTTAACCGTTCGCGACCTCTTTCCATCGCTGTCGCGAGCACTGTCCACCGTGTATTTCCTAAGCATTCGCTAGCGCTTGCTAATCGACCAGTCGCCGGCTCTGTTCTCGGCTCTGGAAAAGACAGACGCAAGCGCGGCGCTCCCTCTCCCTCTCCCGAGCGACCTGTTACATTTGGGCGGGCGCCGCATGCAGGCGTCAGCTTGAAAATACAGGAAGAGCAAAGTTTGGGTCCCGTGCTTATCGCACCAATCGCATGTGAGATCAGGCTCCGTTTAACCCAAGCACAATTTTTTCATCGACAACCGACGACCGAGCGTTTCGTTGGCTGCAGCCGACAGCGAGAACCAACAGGTTTTCCGTCGAGCGACAGCCTCTGATTTCGAGTGTCGTCGTTGAAACAGCTCCGCTTACACGACTAATTGCAATTGCACGTTGTCGCAGGCTCAGTACTTGATCTTCGAGAAGATGCGCGAGGAAGGCTTCGTGTCGGGCACCGAGGACGTCAGACTCACCGTGGAGATCCTCGTGCCGTCGGCCCAGGTCGGCCGGATAATCGGCAAGGGCGGCCAGAACGTGAGGGAGCTGCAGCGCGTCACTGGCAGTGTGATCAAGCTGTCGGAGCAGCAGGCGACTCCACCCTCGGCCGACGAAGAGACCACCGTCCACATCATCGGACCGTTCTTCTCCGTGCAGGTAAGTACTACGAGGGTGCGGGCGCTCGCGCCGCCTTAGCGCATCACTGACCGTAACACCGACCGTGTGCTTTGTGCTCGTAGTCGGCCCAGCGCAGGATCCGCGCAATGGTGGTGCCGCCGGGCGGCGCCCCCGGCGTGGCGCCCGGCTCCGGAGGCCTCGCAGGCCCAGGCGCCGGACGCGCTCCCCGCGGCTCCAGCCAGGAGGCCGGGGCGCGCTCGCGGCGCGACGGCAGTGCCACCTCTCAGTCCGGCGGCTCCACGACGCCCCAACAGCAGCAGCAGCAGCAACAACAACAACAGCAGCAGCAGCAGCAGCAGCAGCAGCAGTCGAGCCACTCGTCGCCCTCGTCTCAGCCGTCCCAAGGTCAGCAGCAGCCGCAACAGCAGTCACAGCAGCAGCCACAGCAGCAGCCACAGCAGCAGCAGCAGCATCAACAGCAGCAGCCGCAGCCGCAGCCGCAGCAGAGCCAGTAAGCTCCGCGGTCAGCGCCGCCCTTGCCGCGACCCGACATCCACCGGCCGGCGACCAGCCAACCTGTAACAGATAGACTATATACTGTACGCGCAATCCATTGTTTGACGCGCGAACATTCAAGCCACTTTCAAGCGTTCATATTTTACTCAACTGCTACGATTGAAGAAGCATCATCCGTCGTCCCACACCCGCCGAAAACGCGCGCGCGTTCTGGCCGAGGTGACTAGATGATGAGAAAAAGCAATGTTCGCCAACTTCTGAGTTTTATGTATGTTGATGATGATGATGCTGATGATAAAGGGGCGAAGATTCACACAACCTTATTACCTCATTCATTACGGTTAAAGTTTTTAATAAAGTTAATGAAGCATAGATAAAGAAATAGAGACACATTGACATTAAACAAGTCTACCTAATATTATAAAGTTATTATAGAGAGAAAACGTTAAGTTACAGTTAAAACTTTTTTACGTTTATTAAACAAATCTGTTACAAAAATGCTGCTACTAATAGGATGCTGTGCTGTGCTATTACCGTTGTTATTGCTACAATACAAGTGGAAAGATAAAGAAAAAGATTATGAATATTATTATTTCAATCGGGATGCACCACCTCAATACACAATCAATCGGACATGCAAGACCGATTATTGTTTATTGAAGATTGATTGAAGAAAAGTCCGTTGTCGACGGATAGATACAAAAATGAAAAGAAAATGAAAACTACAATTTTAAAAGCTGCCAACCAATCGCCACCATCAGTTTAAGCACACATTCAATAAGTAAATGATACATGTTCATGCGAATCCAGAGGATAATTCAAGATGTGAAATTTGAAGAGCACCACTTCGGTTCGTTTTGATATCAACAACCGTGAGGAAACAAGCGCATAAAAATGAAGAAAACAAGAATAAAAAGCAAGCAACCGCATGCCACGTTTTTCCAAAATACTCCGCATATATACGCCGCAGAAGGACGATCATCACGAAGCGTGGAAGAATAGCTATATAAAGTGATATTCGCCACGCGAGAACAAGTTTCGGGGAAGAGAGGGCCAGCAGAAGGACGAGGCTCCGGCGACGACGACGTGAAGACTATTCGGCAGCGCCGAAATATTTCACGCCGTAATACCAAAGAAGCGGTTTCAGTTTTTTTTCGTATTAGTGAAGTTCCTTGCGATAAAACTCGACTGAGATATCGCGGAAGTGGATGTAAACGAATGTAAACGAGTAGTTAAACGAGAGCACGGAACGTTCGAGAAAGTCCAGTTTCCGCATAGATGTGCGCACTCGGCCCTCGAGACTGCGACTCGCGCGGCCGAGCGAGAGTGAGACTTGACTGAGAGAAAGAGAGAGAGAAAGCGAGAGAGAGAGAGAGCGAGAGAGAGAGAGCGAGAGAGAGAGAGAGAGAGAGAGAGAAAGAGAGAGAAAGAGAGAGAAAGAGATAGGTAGATAGAGATGGAGATGGATTCGACTGTAGATTTATATCGAGTTGACTCGCTGACTTTATACAATTTGTCGGCGATCTCAACCTTACCATGAATGTAACAATGTGTGAATGTGCGAGTGTTGCAGGTTATTATTACTTATTGATAAGAGTAATTGATTACCGATTAAAGTTGGCGCCATACAAGCGTTCGAATTTCAAACAAGAATCATAAAAATGGGCATCAAAACGTAGACCTCGATGAAACTTAGTTTTGTAAGAACTGTACCTTATTTACGATCATTAAAGATACATTGTTTAACAAAACCACACCGAAATACTTACTGAAATTTAATCGCGGAAGTGCCCTCGTCGCGCGCCGCTCTCTGCTCAGTATAAGCTCTATTTGCTCACCGAGCTCAAGCTTATCCTCGGCGATGGCAACGCTCGTACCGAGGCGGCCTTCCATGTTTTGGACACCGGCACCGAATACCCTCACTGTTTTCGGTAACGACATACCAAAACTTTGTTTTGACAGAGATCGACTGGACTCACACATCACCGCGGGGATCCTCGTTGGAAAGACTTGAGTCGTGTGCTACCGGAATCGAACATCCGATTCCCATTGATTGAGTATATAAACTTTTTCTCTTGTTTCCGAAGCTAAGACTTTCCGACGAGGAACCTAGCGGTATATCAGTGCTAAGTACTAGAAAATACAATTGTATGCGACGTTGATACTGCGTTATTGAAACGCTCACAATGTTCGACGACATTCAGTACTCTGTACAAGTATCACTCGAAACTATATAACATTGAACATGACTAAAGAAACATTTGGTATGAAAATTGAGAAAGAACTCCAAATGGATTTGGAAATTTCCACAATAGCAAGAGACTCATTGCTGAAACACTGAGAAGGTGTACAATAGTTGCCTTTTTATTTAACTAGTTTCACACTGTCTCTTTTGCAAAATTGTAATATATAAATAAGAAAAAAAGTTATGATCAAGTCGTAATGGGAAGCTGGAGCGAGAGGGAGAGAGAGAGAGAGAGAACGAGTGTGCGTACATAAATTGAAACAAAGAGTTAAGAGTATAAGTTTATTTTTGATACATTGTTGGAAGGATCTAAGTGAAATCTTTCTTTTTTTCAATTTTTTGTTAGATGTTTTTTAATAACTTAATGAATTTTAACGATATTAGAGGATTGTGAGTGGGCGCTTGATAATTTTCGTAAGAATGTGTGTAATGATAGGGTGCTAGTGAACGCGCGAGCATTTTTTTACGTGAAAAGATGAGTATAGTAAATATAGTATATAAGTATGCGAGAGGTATAATATGAGTGAGCACTTGTGACTGTGATTGAAGACGCTGGTATCGGTGCTCGTCAGGCAGTTTTAGCCATAACTGCAATCGAGGAAGCGCCGACGATTAGAAAGGGCATTTTCTCAGACGGATATAAAAATTGTATATTATAATTAATATATATTTCGACGATGCAGGTCTAGAGGCTGCAGACGAGCACCACGCATGTTTTTTTTTCATTTTCTTCCTGTTCGCTTTCATTTTATTCGTATATTCATCCATAAATATACTTAATGTGTGACTGCTTTTGTCTTCAATCTCTACTTGCAGTTTTTTTAATCGAGCGTAAATATTAAATAGAAAACGACGAGATCGAAAGGCGAGCCAATGAAATATAAAATACGTAAGTGAGAGTTGAAATGAATTGAAAAGTTTTAAAGATTACTAAAAACGTTGATAAGCGAAAATACCAAGGGATTAAGGAGAAAATTCTAAATGCTATCGAGCTCGCTACATTTTACCGATGAACTAATCGATGATTCGGCGCTCAAAACATAACTCGCATAACATAATTTCGTATGAACAATAAAAAAAAAATCATTTTTTAATGAGTCCGTTCAACATCCAAATTGAAAACAGCCGATAAGCACAATATCTATCGTGTGAAATTTCTATTGTTTTCATTAAAAAAATATGCTGATCAAAATTACCAGTGAAAAAGAAAAGTTAAGAACTGCTTTAAAAACTGCTTCCAGACTCATGATGAAATGAAAGTCGTTTGACCATTTCGTATTCTTAACTGTTCGGTCTCAAGTCAGCTTCTGACAACAGGCTTGCGTAAAATAAGATCGCTGAAAATAAAGTTTCGATTCGTTTAGATTACGGAACATCAATAAGAAACAGCGCATTGAACGCTTGATATATGTGCTCGTTCGTTCGTCGCGTTCGATGATTTCTTTTTCCTCGAGAAATGCTTCGATTGGTTTAAGCATAAAAAAAGAAGCCACGTCTAAAGAGGATAAAAATTATTCAAAGAGATAAGTTTCGACAAAACAAAAACCAATGTCAAAAAGAAGAGTCGCAAAATTAAATGCCGCGAAAAATCCCAAAAGCACGCTCGAAGTAATGTACAAATAAAGAGAAAACAAATGATTATTAGATTACGATGCGTTAAAATAAAAAGAAAAAAGTTATTTATATAGTGATTTAAAAAGGGCGTAAAAAGTGAGTCTTTAAAGTTATAAATGATTTTAAGATTTGTAAAAATTAGATCTATGCGGTCTGGGATTTACCGTTATGAAACAAATGTACAAAATTAACCTTTAAATCATTGAAGTGTTAGTTTATTTGAAAATTAATGAAAGAGAAAAACTATCTAAAACTTTCCAGGTAACGTGTCGCCTCAATGGCTCCGTAAAATTTTCCTAAACATAAAGCAAATTTTAAAGTATCGAATAATTATATTCACATATTTGGGCAGATTTTGGAACGATTAGTTATTTTGGAGTGGGGTGACGTCGGGTAAATGTCTTAGCGTAGAGAACATTATATTCAAATGGTCTTTTTACAATTGATTGTACTAACGAGAGAACCCAGAAACTCAAAATATCGAAAAAGAAAAATTTGGCAGAAATTTGGCAATAACGATAGTAAAGAACGAATCAATCAGATCTGAATAGAACGAGCACCGACGCGTCTAACGCGTAACAGCTACGCGATTCGCTATTCGAACATGAAAGAAATTAAACAAGTCAGCCGGAAGCTGCTCATATACTGAACGCAAGGTTCAAAATCCGGCATCTCGTAAACAACCAGTGGCACTTCAGTACTTTACGCGAAGCACTACATAAATTGATACTCTTACATAAAATCGTAGCAATCATCGCAAGACAGACGACAGAGTCTACATAATCCTGCCGCGAAATCTGTAGAAACGTAACGATCATAACGGAAAAGATAACCAGGCGAACGATTGTTGGCATTCAACGCGAAATCCAAACGAAACTTGGCTTTTCAAACAATTTTTTCGCTTTACGGATTATGCGTCAGTTATTATAAACAATGGTTGCTAATTTTAAGAAAATCTAGTGATAGGAATAGTCGAGAGTTAAATATCAATTTTTTATATTAGTTTTTTTATATTTTGGGCTTTAGTGTTAGTGATTTTCTTCTTTTTAGAGGAGAAATGCGGCAATGTGTGATGACGCGCTACGATCAGGGTAGTAGATGAGTATTATAAATAGCTAATCGGTCGCTCGAGTCGTTATCGAGTGAATCGTCGATCGATTTCCAACAAACCTGTTCACCTTCTTCGCCAAGCCCTTTTAATTATTACTCACGCATGTTAAATCGAAGATGCTTTTCTTGAAGCTGTCAAACGAATGAACGACGACGTGTACTCGCAGTTGTTGTCATTGAAATCGAACGGCGATTAATCGCGACGAACTTTGAGTGGCATCGAGGGCCTTATAAGCATACAGTTGGGCATTGTTATTACGTGAGAGAAGGAGATACGGTTCGAGTGATATAATCGGTAAACAGATAATATATTAAGCATGCAAATGAATGAAGCAATGAGTGACGAAAGAAGGTCTAATGTTGCGTTAATTGGCTTGAATTTCGTGAATGCCCATCGACAGCTTCATTTGCAAGAGTAATGATTTATATATTTGAACTTATGCGAGCATTCGTGAAATTCAAGTTGATAAACAGATATCAAAGACGCGCGTTTTAGCATATATATTTAATATATTATCTATATCAAACTGTTGCCGACGAATGGGCATTAAAGAAAATCGCGTGTATGTAATAACTTTATTCTTTACTACAAACAACCACTTTTGTAAATATTTATATATATTGATATACTTACATGTACAAGCAGGCATTTAAATAGTTGAAGTTAATAGCAATGGTGAATATGATGCAACGGAACGGGAAGCATACAATAAAATAAATCTCTGAATCGGATGTGCGTTATCCAGTCAATGTTTGGAATGGATGCGAGAGTGAAACACAATCAGAGGACAGGATCAGTGAAATGCCGAATGCAAGTTTCCTGTTCCGTGAGTTCCAAAGTGGGTTGCGACCAGCATAAGCTTGAGCCTCACGGCGAGCGACACTGCCAGTGAGCAAGCGGTCTGCGACGGCGTGCTGGACAGTCGCGAGGACCACGCAAATTTCATTTGTTTTCTGGCCATGCCTATACGATTAGAAGGAAGGAAATTGGCAGAGAAAGAGACAGCGGTAGAGAGAACGTCATTAATACTAAAACCCAAAATTTGCAAAGTCTCGTGCGTGAACGATCATCGCCACTTCTCCCGCTAAAAGAAAAAGACAAGCTTGATTAGGGAAATCGAGGGCTGGTAGCTCGGTAGCTCAGCAGGATAGCAGGATTGGTCGTTGTGTTCTATGGATTCCCTTCTTGTGTTCCGACAGAATAAAGAAGAAAGTTCCACGTGCACGAGTAGTAGAAGACTTCAAAAAAAGGAACAAAAAATGATAAGCAAACAAGGCAAAGTACAAAGAACTGTCGTCGAGAAAATGAATGCTAAACGGTGAACTTGGAGAAATCGAGCAAGCTCAATTGAAATTCAACTGCTGCAGATCAGATCAAAGTCAAAGCTTTCTCAGTGACTAAAAAACAGCTACGCTACACATTGCAGAAAACTAACACACTCGATTACGTATCTGTTTATAAGCAAGCAAAGTAATGATGAAGAACAAAAGAAAGATATATGTGAAAAAACCAAAGAAGACTTGGCCACTCTGGCGGGCCTTCTTTCGCCGATTATCACACTTAATATATATTATATACTTATATACAATGAAAAAAGAAAGGAAACGTGCGCTTATGAAACACATAATTGCATGCACATTGAAAGGATGGTTATAGCCATTTAATATTCGATAGCCGCGGTCGATACGACATCGATCCATCATTTAATCGTTTATTCATACTTGTATTAATTGATGCTTTAGAATCTATTGTTTTTTTTTCTCTTCCTCTAACTGGAATATGCGCATTTGGCGACAGAGACAACCTCTGTCGCATCTGCATTATTTGCTTCACACTTGCTTATTATAATTGTTTATAATTTTTACTTATTTCTCCTCGAGACTCGTCTAGAATTTTTTAGCTGATTCAGTGAAAACTTAACACGGAAAGTCACTCGACCAGTCTCACAATTATAATAATTTTTTCTTTGTTTTCACAATAATTTCTTCATTTACTTTTAGTTGATATGTTTTATAATCGTAACGAAAAATCTTGTCTACTATATAATCTTACCCATTATTAGTAATATTTCTGGCGCTCCAATGTGCCACTTATCGATAGTTTTTTTGTCTTCGATGATGATTGCTGATTTACTACTTCGAGAGTTCACGTATACACCTCGACAACACACTGTTAATTTTCCCTGCACACACGCATTTACAGCTATTCTCGATCTTTTCATGTTTTCCCCTCTCAACGTTACAATCACAGCTAGTTATTGTCCGGACAGCCACCTGTGTTACCCCCTGACCCCCTCTTCGTGACTCTGCGGAGCGAAATTTTCCAACTATACACTTAATTATTAAAAAATTCTCTCCGAATCAACAAATCACATTGTCGATAGGCCAAAAACGCACATGGCGATGATAAACTTTTAGGGCTTGATTAGCGAGAAAAAAAGAGATAGAAAGTGGTACCTGTGCTCCAATGGCAGTAAGCCTTTTTGAACCAATTCTGTCCTTTGACATTCTCACTGCTGTAGCATTCGAAATTTATGCAAAAACTTCTCTTTCTTTCTCCGATTCAATGCTGATTCGGTGTAGTTCTTTTATTCAAATTTAATCAAGAATACGCGTACGTCTTACAAAATAAAAAAAAAAAATTTTCAGAGAAATTTAAAAAAAATTATATGGTGTTTTTTTAGTAGATAATGTTTGGGAATTTATTAAAGTACATATTACATATATGGATAATCATTAAGTACAAGAAAAGATAGGAAATAACGTAAATAGACATTAAGACAATTGAAAAGTAGTCGGCAGCTTTCCTCCAGATGCAAAATTATCCTTCAGAGAGGCGCTCGCACGAGCGCGCAAGTCATTTTTCGCTATCGAAATTACGCTTCGCCAATTTTCGGACCCGTACGATCGATTTCAAGGGCACATCTTTCATATCCTAGCAAAAGCATTGTTAGAGACCCGAAGCTAACTTGAACTTGCTTTCATGTATCTTGTAGTTCGCAACGTTTGGCCAGCTTTCTGGAGGAACAGCTCCGACTAGTACTTGGTTTTAAAATTTAGTAACAGAGAGATAACGTGAGGAATTGCCCGATGCTCGGTCGATGCAAAAGCAAAATAGCAGTATGTCCGAATGCAAGACGAAACCTTGTAGAAACCACAAAGTTTAATATTTTTCTGATATCAGAGTTTTATCGATCTCGCGTGTGGGATGCGAACGGGTTAGCGCGCTTTTTCATTCAACAATCAAAAAATAATATCGCGAAACGACATCACTGAAATCGCATGTACATCGCCAGTACTGTTGTCTGCAAAGTATACATAGATTGTCATAAACTTAAGCGGCAAACGAGCGAAAACTGTACAAAACGCCATATATTTTCTCGTGATTATAACTCGGAAAGGATAACAAGTAGATACAGTAGCCGCGCGTATAGGGAATGCGCGTGAGACGATATCGTTAAGGATGTGCGTGCGTGCGTGTGCGAGCGCGTGTGCGTGTGCGTGTGCGTGTGCGAGAAAGAAGTGCGCACTTGATTTAACAGAGTGATAAACTGGGAATCAGGCATAAGTAAAACGAGAAAGGCATTAAACGTACCTTTATAGAAGCATATTAATTATTAAGAAATATTGACAGTCTTTCTTCTCTATACACCGTTGATTATCTTGCAGTTACAGCAAATCATAAGTGCAATAGTTACTACAATAGACACGGAGCTTTGCATACTTGAAATGAATAAAAAATGAAACCAATAGTAACGCTATGGTACTATCATTAATAGTGAAAATAGTAATATACTTTGCTTTACTTAAATGACTTGTTTTGTTTTAGCTATCTTCACGTTGATTTTTTATTGATGATGAAACAATAACAATAGTGTTTATACTTATGATTACGCATATGTTTTTCTTCGTTACTCGAATATTGTCCACGCATTTTAATGATTGATGGCCAAGTAGTTTCCGCTCTCAATGTTTTTTTTTTCTAACTGCGAATTTGTTGGAGTCACTAAAAGATGCGCCCGTGCGCTTGCGTACGAGCCCTTTGTACATTAATAGTAAACAATGACTTGGTGTCTGTCCGCGTGTGCGCGCGCGCGTGTGCCTGTATGTGTGCGTGTGTGTGCGCGCGCGCATGAATATTTATACGTCGGTCAATAGGTCGTTAACACAATCAACACTTTTATGCAATACAAATACAGAGGAAACCACCCGAAAGCCGCGAATGACGAGACCGATGCGACGAGTGTTCTCTTGCGAAATAACAGTGAACCCGAGCATCGTTTTCACATTTCTTCTCCATTGTTCAGATTCAGTTGGACCGCTCAAATAGATCAACTATTGTAAATGAATGTGCGATTGAGGATGCGAGAGTGAATTATTGGCTAATGTCGACCTGATGGTTTGATTGTTTGATTGTTTGATAGAGCGATACACGGTAACGTCTGTGACGACGATAAATCGACCGAAATAAATCATTGAAAAACATACCTTTGTCAACGCCGTTTTATTATTGTTTTCCTCGACATACTTTACAATTGACAACACTTGCAAAGGAACCTCGGTGAATCTTATTTCGACACTTCAATTTCAACGTCAAATGTGAATGCGCTAGCGATGTAAAGAAAACAATATGACTGGAAATACTTTTCGCCTTGAACAATGATTTAGCGTCGAATTGCGTTTGCAAGCCCTGCTACTTTATATCAGAATCAGCAAACGATAAGCCGTCAAAATTTCAACTCGATTCCTTGTGTCGTCGATCTACCACAGACCACAATTTCTCTTTTGGATTAGCTGGTATCTCAAAATTATTTGTCGAATGTCATATTATGAAGGAAACCGACGACATAATGCGCTTTGGAAGACGCTGCGCGTCAATGAAATGCTTCATTGCGTAAGAGCGACGACGCATGAATCGAGCACGGAACGTATATTCAGCAAAGCGAAGATCAATTCCTCACTAAAATGTTCTTCGACGATTCTTTCGATGGAAAAGTTGGCGTCCGCGAAAAAAATTATCTTCGGTGTATTATATATATAAAAATTTATTGGAATGTAAACGCGTCAAAATCATTGCTATAAAAATTACGGATAAAGAAATAATAAGGAGAAGTGTCAATTGATCGAAAAGAAGTTTTTTTTTGTAATCCAGTCTTAAAAAAAAAAGAATGATTGCATGTAATTAATTCTTCTTGAGAGGGAATTCATTCGTCGTTGGTTAAGGAAAGTTGATGTAAGCACATGAAAATGCGAACCGCAGAGAGCTTGAAAACTTGTTGGTTACGTACATGTGTGTGCGTTTAAATGGCGTAACAAAAAAATGAAAAATTAAAACGGGTTAAAGAAAAAAAAATGCAGGTAATAAAACAAACGGGTAATCGAGATAAATGCTAAACGTATGTTGATTAAAGGGAGAGAGAGAGAGAGAGAGGGGGGGGGGGGAGAGAGCGCGCGAGCCAGAAAGGAGATATGAAGCCGCGACGCAGAATGCTACGAGAATTTATGATCGCAAGATTAGAAGACGAGGAGGAAGAAGGAGATTATCGAAAGCGAAAAGAACGAACGAAAATCATGAGAGCTGCGCTTTCAAAGCAGTTTTGCTCCAAGTTTTGTTTGTGAGATGATAAGTTAGATATTTCGCAATTTTTTCGTCATTCTTTTCACAACTGTTTTGTCATCAGTATCACAAGAGCTCGGCAAATTTTCAAAATTCTTCGACACACTTTCTGTTTCGATGTTGCGCAAATCCGAATTGAATGTGTCGAGAGAGAACACGATTGTAAAGCCGTTAGTCCCACCCTCTAAACTTCAGCCTTCTTCCTTTTCCTGTTCCAACCATCTGACTTTCTCCCTCATCCGCGCCTGGCTGCCACTGACGGCGGGGCAGCGCTCGGAACCGATACATCGAAAGCCCGTATTGTATTTGTCCGCAACAATATTGCTCATTTTCATATAACAATGTATCTGCGAAGACAAGCTACGAGATAGAAATCGCTCGAACACGCATACCTCAATACAACAGAAATCATAGCCGAACTGAAATCAATTTAAAGAAACAAACGCGCGAATGACTAGTGTGAAAAGCAAATTATTTTTTAAAATTTTGTGTACAACATTCGATTGAGGATTGTTTGTAATTGTATATGTATATGTAAATGTATGTATATATATATGAATACACTGCAGTCCGTGTGTTAAGATACATTCTCCTTTTTCTACCGTGACGAAAAAATAAATTATTCTAGTTAATACATTGCAGTACTTTCATTTACAAACACATGCCCGTCCCTCTTCCGTTTATTAATCATATTTATACGTAAGAGTTACTAATAAATACATCAAAATATGAAAAACCCATGCCGAATCTGTGGGCGCGACCGGTCGTGTACAAACTAAGACCACTGTACAAGAAAAATCACAGCAATATTCGCAGAAAACAATTGGTTCATAGACGGCGTCTATTGGCAATCCACAGCTGCACCACATCAGAGACGTCAATATTTACAAGGCGCGTACTTTGTCAGTTGTGCGCTTCCAACCGCCTCCCTCTCTATCTCTCTTCCTAGTTTGCATTTCAAACTTGGCGGCTGGCCCATTGACGCTCGGAGAGCGTGCGTACAAAGAAAGAGCAAAGAGGAATTAGGCCGGGTAGTAGGTGACGCGCGGGCACGGGGCTGCTAGTCAATGAGGCCTGATGGCATTGATCATGTCGTCGAGCAGCCTTTCCACGGCCACGTCCCCGACGGTCGGCTTGAACAGCAGCTCGTGCAGAGTCCTGCGGCAGAGAGCGCGCGCCGGTGGTAACAGCAGCAGCAGGTGACCTATGCGACCGGCACCCCGATCCGACAGCACCGACACCGTCTGCTCCTGCAGCGCCGTCACTCGCGCCGGCTCGCACAGCCCTCGGCACTCTGTAACCACGTTTGTTCCATTTTACTTTCTTTCCGCTCTGATCCTTGCATTTTTTCCAGCCCTATTCACCTCCGCTCGTACGTTCAAACGTACTCGCGATCAAACAATTACTCACGGCATTTCAGCTCAACTCTGAAATCGGCTGCCCGCGCGACTCAAACAAACATTTTTTTCTTTTCTTTCAGTTACAATTTTAAGATCAAATTTCACAGATGGTTGACCAACTTTCAAATTTACTTCGATCAATCAGTCGCGAGCTTGCGGCCACGATAGGCGATTGTAGCGGAATGGAGTTTTCACATTTATGAATGCCTCGTTAACCATACATACCTTCCGTCATCGCGAAATGCGAAATTTCATTTTACAAATTTATAAGAATACGGAAAAAATGAAGCATAATGGCATTTCACTCGTCGTGTGTACGAATTAAAATTGTTGAGAGTCTTGTGCAGTCGCCTATCGCGCTGATCGAGTAACAAACGTAAGGAATGCTTTCGGATCGATATTCTGAAGTGAGCAGCCGTCATCGGCAGGCCGGACAAAACAATGAAAATTTGAAGTGACGTTGAACAGCTAAAAAAAAATTACAACTGGTCGTCCGATAAAAGCGAAAAATTGTCAAGTAAAAGAAAAAAAAAATCGAAAATGCCTTCGTGTGTTCCTTGCACGCTGGAATATTCACGCGGTGACGGTACCGGAGTAGCCGAGGCTATCGGCAACTGGGGATTTTCGAACGAAGTTGCTAGCCCCGGCCACGAGCTCGGGAGAATGGTGTGTTTGCTGGAGCGAATGGATGCTCTGTAAGTCGGACCGTCGTAAATTTAGCGCAGCGCGCATAAGCAGACGAAGGATTCGCGAGATCGGAGCTCGCGATTGACGATAGAGGTTAGAGGAAGAAAGCCGATAATTGCTTTGGGCAGGAAATCGCCGTCGAAATACGATGCCTGTCCAGCGAAAGAAGCTGGTCGGGTGCAGAGATGCGTGGCGGAGGCTCGTCCGAGGAGGTGCCAGGAGCCGCGCGAGAAGAACGACCCGAAGCCCTTGATAACGTACTGCTCCGTGGACGAGTCGCTGCTAACCGCGGACAAGAGGATCGTCAGAGCGGACAGACTGGTGCCCGTGGCAGGGCGTCAATTCGTCCTTCAAGGCGTAAGCGCGTCGAGCGCGTCGAGCGCGTCGAGCAAAACGATCGCGAGCTCTGGCCGTTGTGTTTCAGAGCGACAAATGGTACAAGTTGGGTCCGCTGTGCTGCCCGCAGCCTAGCTGCCCGGCCCCGTGCTGCCCGGCCCCGTGCTGCCCGGCCCCGTGCTGCCCGGCCCCGTGCTGCCCGGCCCCGTGCTGCCCGGCCCCGTGCTGTCCGGTCCCGCGCTGCCCGCCGACTCGACAGCCCCACTCGCGTTGCGAACAGCACTGCCTATGATTTACCGACAACTCCATTGTACAACGCTCTCGGTCAAATGCAAAAGCCAACTAACGCGAGAATGTGGTTGTAGCGTGGGCTGGAAGGTCGGGCGTTACCTCCTTTGAAGAGCACGATGGCCTTGAGGCAAGCGTACTCGGAGTGGTCGATGCGCAAAATGGCGCACCTGGCCAGCAGCTCGCGCAGTCGTCTGGCCTCGTCGCTGAGGATCTGGCGCTTGTCGGGCGATACGGCGTGCGGCAGCAGCTGCGACTCCTCCACGGGGAAGTTCCACTGGGCGGCCGTCAGCACGAACAGCTCGCACCAGGACTCCTCCAGCAGTATGGCCTGGTCGCGATACGACAGCTGCCACAGAGAGGCGTTAGACGGGCGTCGGGGCGTCGGGGCGTCGGGGCGTCGGGCGTCGGGCGTCGGGCCGAGCGGCGCTACCTGGAGGAAGGAGGAGATGCTGCGGGGCCACTTGACCGCCAGGAACAGCAGCTTGGCCGCGAACTCGTACACGTTCTCCGCGGGCAGCAGCGAGAAGCTGGCGCTCGGCGCGTCGCCCAGGGAGCTGCAGATCAGGGGCGTCAGCAGCCGGCTCGAGGCCTGCTCGTCTGCGCAGTCGGGCGAGGCGGTTAGCGCGCGGCTCGCCGCGGGGGAGGCGTGCGAGTGCAAGGGCGGGAGCCAACCTTTCTTGGAGGGCGCGCGCTCGATGGCCGCGGCCTCCTCGGAGCTCGTCACCTCGTCCTCCTTGCCGGCCGAGGTGGACAGCGCGTCACGGGCGGTGGCGGCGGCGGCCGCGGCGGCTGCGGCGGCGGCCGCGGCAGCGGGCGCCACTCTGCCGGGCAGCAAGTGCGAGGCCGTGGTCAGGCGCAGCAGGTCGCCCGTGCAGTCTGCGAACAGGGCGCCGTCGGTTAGTGGGCGGGCAGAGGGGGGCGGGGGCGTCGCAGCCGGCCGTCGGACTGACCGTGGCTGGCGGCGGGGAAGGCCGGCACGACGGGCTTGAAGGAGAAGAAGGCCGGGTAGAGCAGCGGGTGGTAGGGCGCAGCGGCGCCGGCCGCCCCGGCCGCCCCGGCCGCTCTGGCGTGGTAGACGTGGCCGTGCTGGCCGTGCGGGCCGTGCGGGCCGTGCGGGCCGTGCGGGCCGTGCGGGCCGTGGGGGTAGAGGCCCGCGGCCGCGGGCGGCTTCCTCGCGGCCACCGCCATCGCCGCCATGGAGCTGCCGCTGCTGCGCGGCGCGCGCTCGTGCTGCACCGCTGCAATGCGCCGACGGTTAGCCCTTTGTCCGCGCCGCTCGCCCGGAATCTCGCTAATGGCGCGCGCGCGCGCCACTCGAGGGCGGCAGCGGCCGCGCTAATTGATATCTCGATGCAATCAAGTGTTTGCTCGGGCCGACCCCTCGTCGCCGAGCACTCTCTCTTTCCGCGCGCGCGGTCCACGCTTGTTTACCGAGAGCCGACGAGAGCCGACGAGAGCGAGAGCTGCCTCTGACACGCAGCCCGCGCTAAGCGCCCCGGCGAAAAGATAAATAGGGGTGTCGTCGTCCACGCGATTCTCCGATTTCATTCCCGCGGGCGCGCTCTCGCTCTCGCCTCTCTCCCCTCTCCCTCTCTCTCTAATTTTCATCGACTGTTTGCTCTTTTCCACTTCGGCTTTCTATTCATAATGTTGTGCCAGAGATTTGTCAACACAGCCATCTCCACTTACGCCTCGTCGTCCGTCGTCCGCGCCCGCGGCTCACATTTACCTTCTCTCTTCATGTTCATTTGCAAGCACTTGGTGAACCGGCAGGCTTGGCACTGATTCCGCCTCGACACGTCCACCACGCACTGGCCGCTCTCCTTGCAAACGTAGTCCAGGTTCCTAAACAGTGCAGCGGCAAACGATCAGACGGACAGACTGCGCTCGGGGACGCCACTCGGCAGGGGCGCGCACGATTACCTGGCGTACCTCCGGATGGACCGTTTGAAAAAGCCGCGGCAGCCGTCGCAGCTGGCCACGCCGTAGTGCTTGCCGGAGGCTTTGTCGCCGCAGACCTTGCACAAGCTCTCGCCTCTGCCGTTCTCTTCCATGTTGGCGCGCTCGCTCTCTCGGGTCGTCGCAGCGCGTCAGCGTTCGCAGCAGCCGCGGGCGACTATCCAGGCCGACATCTGCAACCGACAATCGCGGGGCCGCGGTCAGCGCGTGGCGCACTCTGCCCGAAGCCGATCGGCCCGTCCCGATCGGCGCGCGTCCACCTACGGCGACACGTCGGCGCGAGCACGAGCGCCAGCGGAAAGGTACGTCGATAAACGGCCAACCGCTAATCAAGCGCCATGTTGAGGCCGCGTCCACTCGGTTTCGTGATAGACTCGGGGGCATATAACGCGCACACGCGACTCGCCGTCCACCTCGCCGGCTATACGATAATGCGCGGCTGGACGAGCGGCGCTTTGCGCCGAGCCACGGCTGCGCGAAAGTCAACGTTGTCGCGGCCGTGCACGCGAGCTTAGAGGGTGCTGGCGCGGCGCTCGCTGCCCAGCGCGGAGTCGCAACCGCGGCCTCGCGTGCCAAGCCTGCCATTACGCGTCCAACTGCAGCGGCGCGCGATGCATACTGCATGCCCGATAACGAGGAGTCTCTAGCGCGCGCGCGCGCGCGCCTCGTTTTCCGCTCCGGCGCCGCCGCGGGCGCCGCCGCGCGCGACGACCCGGCCGAGTCGCGAACGTCTCTCCCGGGGACCGGCTCCGCGGGGCATCCGTCGCGTACCGGGGACCGAGCGCGCTCGCCGCGGACAAACGAGCGCGGCGGGGAGGACGGGGCGCCGGCGCTGAATAATGCAGCGAGCAGCAGCCGCGGCGAACCGCATCGCGGCGCCGGAGCGGTGGCAGCAGCCCCCGCGACGAGGAGCGCGGCAGCTGCGCGCCGGGGCCGCGGCGGCGCAAATAAGAAAAGCGTGTCTGTCCTCGAGTGGATAGATGTGTAGCGCCCTCGACGCCGGCAATCGACATGTCGCCCCGTCTGCTCTCGCGCCGAATCCATCAGCGAACAAGCCAGGCCTCGGCGGCGGCTCTCCTCCCGCCTTCGCCCCGTGTCTTTTTCGGTGCCGCGCTCGGCGCTGACTCACGCTCCGCCGCAGCCCGCGGACCGGCCATTACGCGCGCGGACGCGCCTCGCCAGTGGCCGGTCCGCCGGTCACGCGTCGCCACGCACATATGTCACCGACTCCGCGATCGCTTGGCTTCGATACGCGCCTTCGTTATTCATCGGCGCTCGCCGCGCTTCTTCTCGAAGCTCGCCGTCCAGTAGCCGGCCTGCCTGCAGCTTCGCGCGCGCGCGCCCAATCAGTCGCCGCGGACGCCCGACCGACGAGTAATGAGCATCGCGATAAGCGTAACGAGCATTATTGCCGCCCTCGAAACAACGGCGACACATGCTCGCCTCGGGCGCCAATGGCCGAGCTGTATCATGCAGCCATGCTATATCGCATCGATCAGCGCGGCCCGGAATAATAACAAAAAGAAAAGGGCTGCGTGCCGCCGCTGCCGCCACCGCCACCGCCACCGCCACCGCCACCGACGACGACGACTAATGTCATTTCGATGACTTTCCGATAGTTTTGACAAGCCGCAAGCTGTCGGCGGGGCGACGCGTAAAAAATCCAGTATGTTAATTTTTTTCATCGTCACCTCACACGTGCATTTTTTTCTCGCTCGCGCCGCGCGAGAAAAAATGCTGATCGATCGCTTAGGCGTGGCCACGAGTCTTCGGAGTCACTTTATACTTCGCCACTTTGCTTGCCGAACCACGGAATCTGCATAATTGACCTGTCTCTACCGAGATTAATCGAGATATCATACTGTCGACACGTGCTGTTTCGACGAAAGAGCTTCCTGAGAGAAATTCGTATCCAGTGTACGCTTTTCATACGAGTAAAAGAAGGAACTATTCTATCTCTAGTTCGCTACTGCCGAATGCGCACGTAACTATCCCTCTTTTGTTATATTCGAACGGGTACGGCGCGCTACGCCTATGCTTCCTTCCAAATATCTGCAATGTCATGGATTGTTGCTATTTACGAATGCAAACGTCCAGCTAAGCTTGACAATGAAAAAGCAAGAAAAAGACTGCATCTTTCGAGAACGTCGTTGAAGAAAATTCTATCGAGAGTTTGCGCGACGTTGCATAATATACAACTCATCTCGCACTGGATCGATAGGTTGAAATGTTTCAGCGGAAAGGACGCTGACGTTCGGAAAGTGAAAAAGTACACGAGCAGTTTCGGAAGGGAAATGACACTTTGGCTTGCGACATTCGGTGGCTTTTACGTCGACAATAAGCAGACTAATAGCAAGCGTGCGCCTCGATTTACACGCCTCTGGGCGCAATGATTGCGTGACTTTGCACCGCGTCATTACAATTCCACTTGCACGCCTATATCCGCATATGTTCTTTCAATGTGGCATATCCGATACTCCGCCTGCAGCTGCTAATAATAGATTATTTCTATATGCACGAGTTTCCGCAACTTTTTCTCCTCCGGTCACTTATTCTGTTAATCTTGTACACACTGAACTTGTAGGCGATACAAACATTCTCGTATGGCAAACAGTCAACGATCGAGATAACGATTCATACTCACACGATGCATTTATTGCAGACTGCCGACGAAGAGAAAAGTAGCGACAACCTTCAAAGCCGTCGTCGTCGATGCTGATCGATATGTTCGCGCGGAAAAGTACGTCAACGGCATGTTAAAGCTCTCGACGTCTGCTTTTCAATCAGCTATTCAAACTGTTAAAAGTAGATACTTGTCCCCCTTGGAGCTATCCGTCGAAAGACAATTTAGTAGCCGCGTGCTCGACGAACAACGAAGGCCCAATACTCAGCAACCTTTCGTCAGCACATTTGCTGACCTCTTCAGGCTTTATTAACAGAAAAACAGCAAATTATTAACAATAAAGTTGCAAATGTAATTTTAAAGGTAAATTATATATATGTGTGTACCTGATTTCTCTCATAGTCAAATTATTATAGGCTAAAACGAACAGCTCGTAGCCAGTCACGTTACAATACAGTAAGAAATTAAGTATTTCAACACATATATATTCTTCATCTATTATCTATTAACCCCTTCTCATCGATCTTAATAAAGGCTTTTATAGATATGACTAAGATATTGTATATCCTCTTTTCTATTCAAATTCGTGTGAGAGACTTCTCCTATGTGTAGCTACTACTGTATCTGAGTCAATGTTTTTTTTTGTGTTCATTTAATCTAATTTTTAACGATCGCTTACTTTCACCTATGTAGACAGCTGAACATTATTTGCAGTTAAAACTATAGACAATACCAGTATTGTCTAATAAATCAGATTTGTCTTTTCCTAAACGTATGAACTCTTGTAATGGTTTTTGTAATAAAGATATTGGAGTAATGTCATGTTTTTTTAACACAGAAGAACATTTTTTAAAGATTTTGCAATTATTTGGAATAGCGAGCATAGAAGAACTCTCTCACACGAATTTAACTGGAAAAAAGCTAAGATATTGGATTATGAAAAGAATTACAAGAAACGCAGAATATCCGAAATGTTGCACATCGGCTTACATAAAAACACTTTAAATAGAAAAGAGGATATACAATATCTTAGTCATATTTATAAGCCTTTATTAAGATCTACAAGGAAGGGATGATAGATGAAGAATATATATATATATATACGTTGAAATACTTGATTTGTTACTGCATTGTAAGCTGTTCGTTTTAGCCTATAATAATTTGACTACGAGAGAAATCAGCCTGAAGAGGTCAGCAAATCTGCTGACGAAACGATGCTGAATATAATTAAAATTAAGTGGATTTCCATTTCTCTCTATTTTTCTTCTTTCCATTATTACAAAATTTATCATTAAAGAAAACTACAAGAGAATCAAGACAGTATGTCACGTATGAAGGCCCAATACCTTTAACGTTGTAGCGAATAAAGCAGATCATCGGCAGTCAGGGTTGAATTTAACGACCATACAGGTTGCAGTTGAAAAATGTCAGTGCACGGGTGGTTGCTGGAATAGAACGGCAAGGATAGTAAATACTGAAATTGGCGTTGAAACTGGTTGCCTAATGATCGACTCGGCGGTGGGTTTGTACGTGTGGCGTGTCAGAAAAGAACAGTGAATAACGAGTAATTTGGTTGGATTTTGTAGCCGGTGCGGGGGAGAAAGGGCTCGCGCGCAGCTCGGGCTAGGAAAATTTAGCGAGGCAAGGGGGAGCGAAGCGGCGGTGCAGGCATAGGTGATAAACGCGTCACGAGCTGGCTCAAGCGTAACATATGTTTTTACATATGCGCTCCTGTCGAGCCGCAGCTTGACGATAAAATGGGCTGTAAGTGGCAATTATTTGAGCAGCGGAAAAGCTTTGCGGTGGGCAGCGCTGCAGGTGCAGGCCTCGGTCTCCCGGGGCAGGCGCTCCGCGCGAACACAAAGTCAGCCTGGTCGAGCTGCGTCGCGCACTGGTCGCGCGCGACCTCGGCCACTGCACGTGGCGGCACGCGCGCCGCAAAGCTCTTCGTTCGCCTATCTGCTTCCATCTGATCGCCTGGCCCCTCGTTACCTGCGTCGCGTTAACTGTCGCGCTTAGCTTGCCGCTCGAAGCGATCCTGCACTCGGTTCTTTTCTATTCGTCGCGAAGCCTCCGTCGGAACCCGAGATCTCTCGTAAATATAACGAACCGTCGCTATCGCCTCTCTTTCGCTTTCAAGTTTTTTCCGTCATTTCTACAGGTCTGCTTCTTTCTCAACGCCGAATGATCGTCGAATATTATGCTACCTAGCTCCTCTGGCACACGCATATTCGTGTACCGCCAGACCCTTTTCACGCTTCGCCAAGTGTTTGCGTGGTGTGGCTTTTACCAGTAACATTGATACCAATCTAGACAAAATAATTAGTAGCTTTGTAATGTGACGCATACTTGAGATTGCCATGAAATTAATCTGCACCCTGCTGAGATCTCATTATAACACGCCTCTCTCGAAGCCCTTTCCCGCTGTTTGTATACCGCGCTTAATTAATAGCCACCGCAGCTCGTGCCGCAATCATTAAGCTATCATCCAGCTTTTCGATCGCATATTGGACATTCACGAAAGGCTGAGTAATACGTTCATTCCGGTTCAAACAATTCTGATACAAGTGTTTTGGATAACACAGAGCGCTCCTGATATAACTTTCTTGCCCAGCGACACGAAAGTAATATTTTCCCGACCGCGACTCGCTCGGTAACAGGCTAATCTTGGCCTTGCTGGCCAAAAATCAGCAGATTACATACCTACGCCACGAAAGTATTTGCAAATCGAATTCGCCTCGGGTGTCAATTTACAGCGCTATGGGCTTATGCTATTATCGCTACAATCTACTATTTAATTGCTATTGATCAATTTTCTTTTACTTTTTCTATTCATTTTCATTCAAATAAATAATTTTCAATTTAGATCAGCCGACTTTTTTCAATAGCACTCATTTCAAAAGAACTTCGGTATTTTATTTTCTAAATCGGAAAGTGTAACTAGAATTTAAAAACAATAATTGCACGACTTTTCAATTCCGACTTTAGTCGAATGCAAAAATAGAAATCTTCGTGTAAAACTCTAAGTCATTGCTATTATATATATATACGTAAAGTATGTATGATATTTATCTACATAACCACTGAGGTTAAAGAATATTATTCTTTATATGGGCGTATCACAAAGAACGTTTTTTTATATAATGGTATCCGTAAAAGACTAGTCCATTCAGAAGCTCAAATTTATCACAATACTTAAATTTATTTGTCATTTTAAAACGATATATTTTAATCGTGTTTTCAAGTTACTTTTACTTTGAATAACTATACAATTTCGATCGTCTTTACCGTCATTACTTTCACAATATATATCATCTCGATGATTTATAGAATGGTGTCGACACTTCGATATAACGTATCAGATTCATCGCCTGTACAATAGTGTTAATATTTTGACAAAGCATGTCGTTTAGATCACTTGTTTAGTGGGATCAGTACTTCAGCATATTAATACATTATCTTCTCAATTTCATTATTTTCAAAATTTATATTATTTCGCTATTGTATATTGCTACCATTATTTGATTCATTGCTTCACGAAAAAAAGTAATCACATTTTTTATTGTACTATTTTAATGATATTGTTTTCTATATCTTTTTTGTGTGTCGACATATTCATTGAAATAGTTTGTTTATATAATCCCTTCGACTTTGCACCATGTCAACTATTTTTTTTTTGTTTCATTATATTTTATCATCTCTACCTTGTGTCTTTTCTTATACATTTTTTCTATTATTCCACAATTTTTCTGTTCTATTTTATTTACAATATTAATGTTATATTTGTCGACATAGTCACTCCAATAACATATGGAATTAGAACTTAAATCTTTTAGAAATGAATATCTTTGCGCTAAGAATTGTATAAATTTGGTAAGAAGATTTCGAAAATATACTGGAATTTTAATCAATGGTTATATATTTTATTTCTTTCAAATTTATAATTTTTAGCTACTAAATACTAATGTACGTTATAAAACATTAACAAAACTTTTAAAAACTACATAATTTGAAAAGGACTGAATCGAAGAAGCAAAAAGAAACATAAAAAAAAAGACAAACGATAGGCAATAAGGGGGAAAAATGTTACTATGTTGATATATCCAGACGAATGAATCTAAAAACAAGTAAATAGAGGGACAAATAAATAGGCAAAAGAGGGTAAAAAGGTACGAAACGGAACATGATTGAGGTAAAATCAATGTTAGTTTTGTTAAAACGGTGACGAATCTCTTCAAGTATAGTCAAATTAAAAAAAAAACTATTTAAAATTTACATGAGAACATAATAAAAAATTGATTAGATTTTTATATTCATACTATACTTGTAACTCTAATAATCTAGTCATTCTAACTAAACAAATGTTTGTATTTATAACTTGTTAAAAATAGACTATACAAACATAAAATGTACTACAAAATAAGGTACACGAACATTTAAGCTCATTTTGGTTACTACTACTACTGGTTATTAAAACATTTAATTAGAAACTCGACGAATAGGTTTTGATGAAAATGTGAAATATCTGAATTTAGCAATAAAATTTGTCAAGATTGCCTAAATTTATGTCATGAATAGGCTTAACTTAGGGTAAATTATACAATAAAAGTTTAACTTCATATTTTCAACGTCTACCTATATAAAATAACATATTTTTAGTATATTTTTGCAAGTTATCGTATACGTAGTACAACTGGAAAACTGTTGTAATGAATTACGTGAGAAATTTTATAAATTGGAAATAAGTAATAGATGAAGACCATGGTTGCGATGAAAGTCGATCGCAAGCTCTTAATTAATTAAATCTCCAAATATTGTTGCGACGGCGCATCGCACGAGTGCATTCTGATGCTATCTGAACAATTTTAATTTAATAATACATTATGCCTGTGCAGTCAATTCGATCAGTGATGCAATTTTCGGATGGGTTATTAATGAAAAATCTGCGTGGAATAAGAGCTTGCGAACGATGTTCGTCGCGACCATTATAATGATCATTTTTGGGCTTGCGATTATTCAACTTAAATAATTCATTGCGTAATTTTCCAATTTGAGATTACTATCATACGATTGTACGGAATAGCGAAGTGTTCAATTATAAATAAATCTAAAATTTCGTCGTATTGTAGACGAGTAAACTTTTTATTAGTTAGAT